GATTCCAGAAACCTCTCAGAGTACATACGGAAAGTCAATTTTTCTGGATTTTCTCAACCACGTATCTTCTTTAATAAAGAGGGCAGTACAAGGGGTCAATACGACATTTATTACCTCCGCAATAGGAGTTCTAAGTACGTAAAAGTTGGTACATGGAGGAATGGAACGCCTTTTCTGAATTTTGAATTAGTTAAAGCTTCGGAAAACGATTCTTTTGACATTCCAGCCTCGCTTTGCAGCAAAGACTGCAAGAAAGGTAATGTTTGTGGTGACGATGGAAATAACGTCAGATTCGTTCTGAAAGTTCAGAAGTTTATTCACATTTGAACAATAGGTGGTTTTCACGTTACGTCATCGCTGCCATGCTGGTGGACGGTAAACAAGTATTTGTTCATTTCACCATTGTTCTTTGTGTCTCCCGAGATTGCATGAAAAACACCTATTGTTTCTAGTTGGTAAATTGCAGGCATTTTTTTTGTTTACCAGAATCAAGTAACGTTCTATCAGGAAAAAGAACATTGCTCGTACCGTACCTTTTGAATCATGAAATACGTATGTCACATATGCCTTGTTCTTTTATAGGAGAGTATAGGATTCCAAAATCACAGTTCCCAGAATGCTGCTGGGATTGCGCAAAGTGCGATGGGAAGTCCTTCACCAACACGTCAAACATGACCAACTGTGTGGAATGCCCTGAAGGAACTTGGCCCACAGCTGAACACTCGGACTGCAGGCCTATAGAAGCAAGGTACCTGCATTGGGGCGAGGCTTGGGCCGTTGCCATAGTAACCCTGTCATTAACTGGATTTACTCTGGTGGTCGGTACATGTCTCCTTTTTGTAAAATCTCGGGGCACTGCAGTTGTGAAAGCTGCGAGTCGACAGCTTAGCCATGTTCTTCTGCTGGGAATTGCATTGTTCTATCTCACTCCACTTTGTTACATTATTCAACCTTCTGAGAACTCGTGCAAATTACTTCCCTTCATGTTTGGAATGTGCTTTGCTTTGGTCGTAGGTGAGTTACGAATGTTAAGTTCCGCCTAAACTGACTAAGAAGACCTAGTTCAGCCTCATGCAAGGGTGTCAATGGGGTGATAGCTTTGACGGTTGACGGCAGTAGAGTAGATATTAGAGAGGTTACTAATAAGCTTCACGTTTACGTCAACAAATTTTATTGACGAAATCGAGCAAAATTAATTAGGAGAGAACGAGTAGACAACTGACAACTTGATTAACAATAAACGATGTTTAATTGTGGCAATAGACGGATCGAGAAACGCACCAATGACATTACGAGTCCTCATAGCCAATAGGCCACTTGCACTGAGAGGTCACGTGACCAATGCTTTCGACAGAGCACGTAAAAATTATCTTACACCCGAAATTTGAGAGGAAACACATTTAAGAAGGGTATTTTATGGCACTTTGAGTTTTCAACAAAGTAGTATGATTTGTATTGGCCGCATACTCTTGCCTTCCAACATGGCGGCCAAAACTACTTTTTGCTTTTATCTTGTTAAACGTTTGACAGTCACGCTCAGATGTACTGTAAACGTCACCACATCATCTTTTCAACATTTTCCTGGAAGTTTAAGTGCAAAATTTGTGTTCAGAAAGAGGTAATTCATAATTTTAAAAAATCACACTTGGCCTCGTGACCAGCTACGAACTTACTCATTTTAAGAAAATGGTGCGGGTTTGAAAAACCAAATCACTATTATTTTGTTTCAGATATGACCCTCTAATCGCTTTTCGAAGACAAAATCATATAACTTTCATTTTCATAAAAACGATGTCACATGACCTCTTAGTGCAAATGGCCTATAACATCACGGTTTAACTGACAGACGATCAATACCATCGCGACTTAATTGACCAATCAGGTCAATAACCAGAGTTTAATACCATCAAATGTCGTGATACAACTCACTTTGACTCCGAAGATGACAACCGCACAGGTTGTCGAAACGTCAGTCACTAAAAACAACATTTCCATGTGCGTGGGTTCAAAGGAGTGGAAGCCATGCTGTACGCAGTAGAACTTATCAACAACAATTCAAACCTGCTTCCTAACTTAAGGCTGGGCGTTGACATTAAAGACACATGTGGCAGTATTGACTATGCCATTATGGAAAGTTTAAGTTTTGACTTTATCAGAAACGCATTTGCTGAAAATGAGTTCGCAGGATGCGCTGAAAGCCGGGAAGAAGTCCCTCTGGGGCAAAATAACCACCACAGTGTTTCGCAAAGGTTAAACGATTCAAGCTCTCAATTGGCGAATTCCAGTTCATCGAAGAGTCAAAATACTACTGTGTCAGGTAGGGATGTATTGATCTTAAAAGTCGCTTGAGTAAAGTTTGTCTTTTCCGTCCTTAGTCTACCAAGCTGCTCAAATTTTAAAATTTATCTTTGAAATGATGTTTTGATTATCTTTCCTGGCACAAACTAATGGTATTCTTTGGTTCAAACGGTCAAATGAGGAAAGGCGCTCGAATTATTCTTTCTTTGCCACGTTTGTGAATTAACTACTTTTCATTAAGCGTGTAGAAACCCGGTGTAACACTCTTGTGGAATATTGTGTTTATTTGTTCTGTATTCACGTTATGACAACTGTTGTTCAGGTCTTTTATCATATTCTTATCATATTCAAAGTTCACTGATCCCAAAAATGCTTTTGTCGAGTTTTTTAAATTTCCTGCCTTGATAAGACTATGATGAATCCTGAACATACGGGAAAAGATTTTTCACAACGCGAATATACATAAAAAAGCGGAGAATGCCACATTAAATATATTAGGCGAACGAAAAAGACACGAAAATAAAGTCGTTAGCTTTTAGTTAACAGTTTTTCCTGTTATACTGCTCAATTTCGTTGGCTGGAAAAGTATCAGAGAAAACCAGCTTTTACGTTCATTCGACAGAAGGTCTTCCCTGATCAATAAAAAGTTGAAAATGATTGAGTACCCGATTATTAAGGCTTTCAATTTAGTCAAAGATATCATTTACTGAACTTATTCTAATTCTGATAGTAGTTTTGGCAGTATTTAGGAGATATTGAGCTATTACATAAGGTGGATAGTCATCTTCAATACACCGGCGGAAGTCATATTTTTGCCCGTTTCTACGGTTGCGATAACTGAATTATCCTGATCATCATGTAACGGATGATACAAGCGCCATGCATGCAGGTAAAAAAATAAAGCCAGAAAGCCGCCATTAGGTTTAACTAATAAAAACACAAATTTTTCTTCGTTGAGCTGATCATGATTTATATATTTTTTAGATTTCATCATGTCGGTGGCCTCGATACATATGCCAAATTTTAAGACTGATCCGTTGAATGAAAGTCCGCCAGCAAAATGGCAACTATCTCGATCGATCTCTCTCATAATGCCCGCTCGTAGTTTTTCCGCGTATATTGCATAAAAGCCTACTTCCGCACAAATCGCAAAGGTTCAAATTTCTAGACATCTTCTTTGCGTAGGTTTTTTGGGCAAAACTCCAATTGTAGCTCTGACGAAGACAAGGCGACCCTCGTTTGTAAACTGAAAACGAAATTTGCATGGGTTTTCTGTCAACAATGTCAGCTAAAAACAAAATGCCCTGCCAGTGCAATTCCCGCTTCAAAATTTTATATCAACGACCCCCGGCAGTAAATGTGTTTTGGTAGCTTGAAAAAACTTTAGTTCCATTTCCTATGATCTAGAAAATTTTCGAGCGAGTGGGCGGATTTAGAAATTTATTCTTTCTTATGCCAAATTGTAACGCTTTCTTGAACTTTACTTTTACATCAAGCTGTATAAACAAGAAGAGAACAAGTTTTCAGGAAAGCTCTTCATTTATTCTCGATAAGCCATTTGTAGAATTAACTTTTTGGATATGAAGAACAAAAGTGGTCACATCGAGTATTTTCAACTTGAATATGTTATACATTTCATTTTAAAGCTAAATTGGCATTGCAACATGTTTCGATTAAGGCGTTAAATTAAAACAACTTTCCCTTTACATAAAATTATAGGCAATTCCGAGCTCACATTGAAATTAAATGTAAGCCGCTAGGCAAAAACTGAAGTATTCATGAACTTAAATACATGTTCAGGGCATTCTCAGTTTTCTAATGAGATAAGATGGGTTTCTTAGGTTTCGGTGGCTTGGATGTCAATCATTTTACGACAGGACGAACAAAAGGCTGTAATTACAAAAACCAATCTAACTCAGACATCTGCATCTAATATCTTGCAGAAATTTAAGAAAAGTAGATAAAAAAGAGTGAAAAGAAAGCGTTTGAGAAATGCACATGTAAGCACGAAATGATCAGAAATGTTGTGATGTTGTAATTTGCAACTATTATAATGTGTGTGGTAGAGAACTGACAATTTAGAGGCAATTCTGATCGGTTGGGTCTTTAAATATTGAAACATTGTACATTAGCAGAAAAAACAAATATGATGATCGATACTAAGAGTTATTGCCAGTTCAGTAAGCTCAAACTATTTTTAGAAATAACACCTTACCAAATTTAAAATATTTACCTTCGAAATGTCTTCCTTTGGCCAAAATTGAAGCAACAAATTATGTCGCCTTTGTTGTTGCGATCGCCGAGTAACAATTGTGGCCGCGTGGCTTGTTGTTATAATAGTTGAAGATAAAATAATATATCATATTTAAGAAATAATGATTATGTAATAAAATTTTTCTACAAGTCAGCCACTTTTGTGCCTGGTATTGATATTCTAATACGGGTCTTATTTGTCCTGTCAAATTTACTCTGTATCTTAATAAAATGTTCTTATGGCATGGGCAGATTGAACAAAAATATAATACAGCTCAGGATCAATCCTTTTAAAGGAATGATCAATAGAAATTTTTTGTCTGTAACTGAGAACCCTACTTATCTTTTTCAGAATGCTGTTTCAATAAAACACTTACGGCAGCGATCATTGGAGCGGCTTTCAGCGGTGTTACCATGGCAACAGCGAGCTTGACAGGCCTGTTTCACGTACCTGTGATCAGTTTTGCGTCGACAAGCCGCCTTCTTAGCGACAGAACTAGGTTCCAGTACTTTTACCGCACGGTTCCTTCCGACAACCTCCAAGCTCAGGCGGTCACTGGTTTGCTTCACAGATTAAAGTGGCACTTTGTAATCGCGCTCGCATCGGATAATGAATATGGCAGATCTGGGATCGCTGCGTTAAAACAGTCAATAAATAGCCAGGAAGTACACCGTGTATGCATCGTAGTAGATCAGTTGTTCTCTCGGAAGGGAACCAAAGAGGAAATGAGCAACGTTTTGAATAAGATAAAGCAGTTTTCACAAGCGCGGGTGATAATCCTTTATGCTGAATTCCCAGATGCAGTGTATTTTTTCAAAGAAGCAAAGAAGGCAGCCCTGAGGGATTACATGTTCATTGCTTCAGACAGTTGGGTTGGCTCGTTGGAAGTTATTCATGGTGCTGAGGACGTTTTCTACTCGATCATAGGTCTAAGACCGCCTATCATCAACATGTCGAGGTTTGATTCATTTTTCATGAATCGCATCCGAAGGAAGGAAAGTGAAAACCCGTGGACTGTTGATTTTAATAAAAGCTTAATTTGTGAAGATAAAACAGTTAAACAATGTGGCACGGACGTTCACCACGATGGCTATGTGCCTTACGTCATCGACGCGGTATTTTCCGTGGCGCATGCGCTACATGCCATGCTCAACTGCAGCAAAACTGCATGCCAAAAGAAATGGGACAACGGTGATTCCAGAAACCTCTCAGAGTACATACGGAAAGTCAATTTTTCTGGATTTTCTCAACCACGTATCTTCTTTAATAAAGAGGGCAGTACAAGGGGTCAATACGACATTTATTACCTCCGCAATAGGAGTTCTAAGTACGTAAAAGTTGGTACATGGAGGAATGGAACCCCTTTACTGAATTTTGAATTAGTTAAAGCTTCGGAAAACGATTCTTTTGACATTCCAGCCTCGCTTTGCAGCAAAGACTGCAAGAAAGGTAATGTTTGTGGTGACGATGAAAATAACGTCAGATTCGTTCTGACTAGTTAGAAATTTATTCACGTTTGAACAATTAACAATTATTGGACGAGGTTGAGCAAAATATCGTGATTTGTCTGTGGTGAGCAGTTCGGCTGAGGCAAATAATTGATCTGCTAGACACTGACAAATCACGATATTTTGCGATAACCGAGTTCAATAATTGTTTTATCATTTGATCACCGAGTTTGTTTTATTTATGAATATCCTCTGGAAGCGAAGCGATCTGCCATTTTCACGCAAGAGCGATCGCAAGAAGGAGAAAAGCACGGTTTCCTTTACGCATGTGCAGAATATTATTTGCCGCCAAACACAGTTGGACGGCATTGCGCATTACCCGATTATTAAGGCTTTCAATTTAGTCAAAGATATCATTTACTGAACTTATTCTAATTCTGATAGTAGTTTTGGCAGTATTTAGGAGATATTGAGCTATTATATAAGGTGGATAGTCATCTTCAATACACCGGCGGAAGTCATATTTTTGCCTGTTCCTACGGTTTGTGATAACTGAATTCAGTCATTGATCATCATGTAACGGATGATACAATCGCTAGACATGCAAGTAAAAAAATAAAGCCATAAAGCTGCCATTAGGTTTAACTAATAAAAACACAAATTTTTCTTCGTTTAACTGATCATGATTTATATATTTTTTAGAAATCATCATATCGGTGGCCTCGATACATATATCAGAAATTAAGACTGATCCGTTGAATGAAAGTCCGCCAGCAAAATGGCAACTATCTCGATCGATCTCTCTCACAATGTCCGCTCGTAGTTTTTCCGCGTATATTACTTAAAAGCCTACTTCCGCACAGATCGCAAGCGTTCAAATTTCTAGACATCTTCTTTTGCGTAGGTTTTTTGGGCAAAACTCCAATTGTAGCTCTGACGAAGACAAGGCGACCCTCGTTTGTAAACTGAAAAGCAAAAATTGCATGGGTTTTCTGTCAACAATGTCAGCTAAAAGCAAAATGTCCTGCCAGTGTAATTCCCGCTCCAAAATTTTATATCAACGACCCCCGGCAGTAAATGTGTTTAGGTAGCTAGAAAAAACTTTAGTTTCATTTCCTATGATCTAGAAAATTTTCTAGCACGTGGACGGATTTAGAAATTTATTCTTTCTTATGCAAAATTATAACGCTTTCTTGAACTTTACTTTTACATCAAGCTGTATAAACAAGAAGAGAACAAGTTTTCAGGAAAGCTCTTCATTTATTCTCGATAAGCCATTTGTAGAATAAACTTTTTAGATATGAAGAACAAAAGTCGAGTATTTTCTACTTGAATATGTTATACAGTTCATCTTTAAAGCTAAATTGGCATTGCAATGTTTCGACTAAGGCGTTTAATTAAAACAACTTTCGCTTTACATAAAATTATAGGCAATATATTCCGAGCTCACATTGAAATTGAATGTAAACCGCCAGGCAAAAACTGAAGTATTCATGAACTTAAATACATGTTCAGGGCATTCTCAGTTTTCTAATGAGATAAGATGGGTTTCTTAGGTTTCGGTGGCTTGGATGTCAATCATTTGACGACAGGACGAACAAAAGGCTGTAATTACAAGCACCAATCTAACTCAGACATCTGCATCTAATATCTTGCAGAAATTTAAGAAAAGTAGATTAAAAAGAGTAAAAAGAAAGCGTTTGAGAAATGCACATGTAAGCACGAAATGATCAGAAATGTTGTGATGTTGTATTTTGCAACTATTATGATGTTTGTGATAGAGAACTGACAATTTAGAGGCAATTCTGATCGGTTGGGTCTTTAAATATTGAAATATTGTACATTAGCAGAAAAAACAAATATGATGATCGATACTAAGAGTTATCGCCAGTTCAGTAAGCTCAAACTATTTTTAGAAATAACGCCTTACCAAATTTAAAATATTTACATTCGAAATGTCTTCCTTTGGCCAAAATTGAAGGAACAAATTATGTCGCCTTTGTTGTTGCGATCGCCGAGTAACAATTGTGGCCGCGTGGCTTGTTGTTAGTTAAAGATAAAATAATATATCATATTTAAGAAATAATGATTATGTAATAAAATTTTTCTACAAGTCAGCCACTTTTGTGCCTGGTATTGATATTCTAATACGGGTCTTATTTGCCCAGTCAAATTTACTCTGTATCTTAATAAAATATTCTTATGGCATGGGCAGATTGTACAGAAATATAATACAGCACAGGATCAATCCTTTTAAAGGAATGATCAATAGAAATTTTTTGTCTGTAACTGAAAACCCCACTTTTCTTTCAGAATGCTGTTTCAATAAAACACTTACGGCAGCGATCATTGGAGCGGCTTTCAGCGGTGTTACCATGGCAACAGCGAGCTTGACAGGCCTGTTTCACGTACCTGTGATCAGTTTTGCGTCGACAAGCCGCCTTCTTAGCGACAGAACTCGGTTCCAGTACTTTTACCGCACGGTTCCTTCCGACAACCTCCAAGCTCAGGCGGTAACTGGTTTGCTTCACAGATTAAAGTGGCACTTTGTAATCGCGCTCGCATCGGATAATGAATATGGCAGATCTGGGATCGCTGCGTTAAAACAGTCAATAAATAGCCAGGAAGTACACCGTGTATGCATCGTAGTAGATCAGTTGTTCTCTCGGAAGGGAACCAAAGAGGAAATGAGCAACGTTTTGAATAAGATAAAGCAGTTTTCACAAGCGCGGGTGATAATCCTTTACGCTGAATTCCCGGATGCGGTCTATTTTTTCAAAGAAGCAAAGAAGGCAGCCCTGAGGGATTACATGTTCATTGCTTCAGACAGTTGGGTTGGCTCGTTGGAAGTTATTCATGGTGCTGTGGACGTTTTCCACTCGATCATAGGTCTAAGACCGCCTATCATCAACATGTCGAGGTTTGATTCATTTTTCATGAATCGCATCCGAAGGAAGGAAAGTGAAAACCCGTGGACTGCTGATTTCAATAAAAGCTTAATTTGTGAAGATGAAACAGTGAAACAATGTGGCACGGACGTTCACCACGATGGCTATGTGCCTTACGTCATGGACGCGGTATTTTCCGTAGCGCACGCGCTGCATGCCATGCTCAACTGCAGCAAAACTGCATGCCAAAAGAAATGGGACAACGGGGATTCCAAAAACCTCTCAGAGTACATACGGAAAGTCAATTTTTCTGGATTTTCTCAACCACGTATCTTCTTTAATAAAGAGGGCAGTACAAGGGGTCAATACGACATTTATTACCTCCGCAATAGGAGTTCTAAGTACGTAAAAGTTGGTACATGGAGGAATGGAACCCCTTTACTGAATTTTGAATTAGTTAAAGCTTCGGAAAACGATTCTTTTGACATTCCAGCCTCGCTTTGCAGCAAAGACTGCAAGAAAGGTAATGTTTGTGGTGACGATGAAAATAACGTCAGATTCGTTCTGACTAGTTAGAAATTTATTCACGTTTGAACAATTAACAATTATTGGACGAGGTTGAGCAAAATATCGTGATTTGTCTGTGGTGAGCAGTTCGGCTGAGGCAAATAATTGATCTGCTAGACACTGACAAATCACGATATTTTGCGATAACCGAGTTCAATAATTGTTTTATCATTTGATCACCGAGTTTGTTTTATTTATGAATATCCTCTGGAAGCGAAGCGATCTGCCATTTTCACGCAAGAGCGATCGCAAGAAGGAGAAAAGCACGGTTTCCTTTACGCATGTGCAGAATATTATTTGCCGCCAAACACAGTTGGACGGCATTGCGCATAAGCAGACCATTATTTGTAGGCAGTTATTTGCAGGTCACGTGGTGGGCTCTCGGCCAATGAATAGAAAGAAAAATTTGCCTCGAATGATAATTGCTTTTATTTGGTAAATTGCAGGCATTTTTTTTACCAGAATCAAGCAAGGACATTGCTCGTACCGTATCTTTTGAATCATGAAATACATATGTCACATATCCCTTGTTCTTTTATAGGAGAGTATAGGATTCCTAAATCACAGTTCCCAGAATGCTGCTGGGATTGCGCAAAGTGCGATGGGAAATCCTTCACCAACACGTCAAACATGACCAACTGTGTGGAATGCCCTGAAGGAACTTGGCCCACAGCTGAACACTCGGACTGCAGGCCCATAGAAGCAAGGTACCTGCATTGGGGCGAGGCTTGGGCCGTTGCCATAGTAACCCTGTCCTTAACTGGATTTACTCTGGTGGTCGGTACATGTCTCCTTTTTGTAAAATCTCGGGGCACTGCAGTTGTGAAAGCTGCGAGTCGACAGCTTAGCCATGTTCTTCTGCTGGGAATTGCATTGTTCTATCTCACTCCACTTTGTTACATTATTCAACCTTCTGAGAACTCGTGCAAATTACTTCCCTTCATGTTTGGAATGTGCTTTGCTTTGGTCGTAGGTGAGTTACGAATGTTAAGTTCCGCCTAAACTGACTAAGAAGACCTAGTCCAGCCTCATGCAAGGATGTCAATGGGGTGATAGCTTTGACGGTTGACGGCAGTAGAGTAGATATTAGAGAGGTTACTAATAAGCTTCACTTTTACGTCAACAAATTTGTACCATGTGACCAAATTTCCGCTTGACTTGTCGATCACTGTTCATTATTTCGACACATAAATTAGTAGTTTCACGTAATTATTTATTCATAAGAACTGTTTTAAACATTTTTTGTCTGCTCATTTTCTATTTCGAGAAATTCTCTACTTGAATCTGATGTTTGCAGTTTGCCGTACTCTCGTGAAGCTTAAATTCTCTATTCTATTTATTATATTATAACGACTAGTTTATTGACGAAATCAAGCAAAATTAATTAGGAGAGAACGAGTAGACAACTGACAATTTGATTAACAATAAAGGATGTTTAACTGTGACAATAGACGGATCGAGAAACGCACCAATGACATTACGAGTCTTCATAGCCAGTAGTGCCACTTGCACTGAGAGGTCACGTGACCAATGCTTTCTTTAAACAATGAGTTGGAATCTTGCTGATGCCAAAAATTGATAGCCTGAATCGTCGTTATTACTCCCTCAGTAACGTCCGAATCGACCGGCCGTTAATGCCGTCCAGTGACGTCACTAATCCTTGACCTTTGCTTTAATTCATGCAAAAAGTAAAACACGATTTTCAAGCGGCAAACCGAGAAATATCGTTTGGAAATGTCTGCATGATACAGAACTACTTTATTTTTTTCGATTGTAATTCATGTTTAACGTTCAAACTATCAACTGCATGCAGTACAACTCTGAACCGGTTGTACTAAATTCTATAATCACACTCGGTCGCAATCACGCAATGAAATAAACACACACACGGAACACTTAGCTCAAAAACACAATGATTCGCTTGATTGAAAAGAAGCTATTTGGTCCTTAACGAAGAAAAAAAAACAAGGAGGCAAGAAAGAAAAGCTAACAGAATCATTACACTTTACATTACACGATAAAAATAGCAAGAAGGTCGAATTATAACATTGATCTCAGAAAACTTCGCGTAAACAAAATCACCGGCCACCGAAACCACAAAGCGGCTCTAAATGAAAAACCTACCGACTCTCCGCAATGATTCTTCATTCGCAGTTCAATTTATTAAGCATTTCAGTTTCGAAGACAAGGGCAATTTTGCCGTTTAAGATGAAGATTAAGCTTATCGAAATGTTTGAACTAAACCAAAGAATGCCGCTAAAATTTTTCATATTTATACATAATTATGCGAATGTTTAGACAATCAACCATTCAAAATCACTACCCGGTTTTCGGGTAGTGAGTGACGTCACTGGACGGCATTAACGGCCGGTCGATTCAGACGTTGTTGAGAGGAGAAAACGACTCGAAGCAATCGGATGAATTTCAGGCTAAAAAATTGACAGAGCACGTAAAAATTATCTTACAACTGAAATTTGAGAGGAAACGCATTTAAGGGAGATATTTCATGGCACTTTGAGTTTTTAACAAAGTAGTATGATTTGTATTGGCCGCATACTCTTGCCCTCCAACATGGCGGCCAAAACTAGTTTTTGCTTATATCTTGTTAAAAGTTCGATAGTTACCCTCAGATGTGCTGTAAACGTCACCCCATCATCTTTTCAACATTTTCCTTGAAGTTTAAGTGCAAAATTTGTGTTCAGAAAGAGGTAATTCATAACAGTTTAAAAAATCACATTTGGTCACGNCAACTTGATTAACAATAAACGATGTTTAATTGTGGCAATAGACGGATCGAGAAACGCACCAATGACATTACGAGTCCTCATAGCCAATAGGCCACTTGCACTGAGAGGTCACGTGACCAATGCTTTCGACAGAGCACGTAAAAATTATCTTACACCCGAAATTTGAGAGGAAACACATTTAAGAAGGGTATTTTATGGCACTTTGAGTTTTCAACAAAGTAGTATGATTTGTATTGGCCGCATACTCTTGCCTTCCAACATGGCGGCCAAAACTACTTTTTGCTTTTATCTTGTTAAACGTTTGACAGTCACGCTCAGATGTACTGTAAACGTCACCACATCATCTTTTCAACATTTTCCTGGAAGTTTAAGTGCAAAATTTGTGTTCAGAAAGAGGTAATTCATAATTTTAAAAAATCACACTTGGCCTCGTGACCAGCTACGAACTTACTCATTTTAAGAAAATGGTGCGGGTTTGAAAAACCAAATCACTATTATTTTGTTTCAGATATGACCCTCTAATCGCTTTTCGAAGACAAAATCATATAACTTTCATTTTCATAAAAACGATGTCACATGACCTCTTAGTGCAAATGGCCTATAACATCACGGTTTAACTGACAGACGATCAATACCATCGCGACTTAATTGACCAATCAGGTCAATAACCAGAGTTTAATACCATCAAATGTCGTGATACAACTCACTTTGACTCCGAAGATGACAACCGCACAGGTTGTCGAAACGTCAGTCACTAAAAACAACAACAGTCCTATTCGGGACTACGTTCACCCGGACGATCATACTCAACCTACTTATAAAATGACTCTTGGCTATGGGTTCCAACCTTTTCACACTTCAATATTCCTTCTTTGTTATGATACTATGACAGTTAAAACTGCTTTAACTTCAATTTGTCAGTTTCTTCCGTGATTTCATATATTATATATGTAATGCAAAAACAAAAAAACAACAACAAAGACAAATAGGAGCTCTGAAAACTTTACTTCATATAGGAAGTTAAGGTTGAAACGATAAAGCAATTTTCCATTCCTTTTAGTTTTTCTGTCTCCTTTCTCCATTTTTATTCTTGATTTCTTTTTTTTTAAAAAAGGCGATTATTGTTTACTCATTGTTTACCTATTGTTTACTTATCTTCACAGGAACCATTCTCATCAGAACCAACAGAGTTTCTAGGATTTTCAATGAAAAGCTCCTTCGAACAGGAACCATCAGTTGCCTAAGCAACTACTGGCAACTCTTTATACTTGGATGCCTGCTGACCACTGAACTCGCACTCTCAATTGCTTGGGTGTTCGGGCCTTCAACTAGCGTTTTCAAAGAGGTTATATATTCGGAATCTTCTAAAGATGCCTCACTCGTGTGCAATCTAACCGGAAGTCAAATCGGCTTCGCCTTGTGGCTGATCTACAATGCAGGTCTGGTCATTGTGTGCACATATCAAGCTTTCCTTGTGCGCAAAGTGCCGCAGAATTATAACGAATCAAGACTGATAGCGTTCAACATGACCACTATGTGTATAACTATACTCGTCTATATTCCTTCTTATATGGGAACCACAGCTTGGTACAGAGCGGTCATTTCAAGTCTTATGTTCATATTTCTTGGTACCCTTACTTGGGCGAGTATCTTTGCACCAAAAATTTACATTATCTTGTTTCGACCCCACAAGAACATTCCAATGCGTCCATCCGTTAGCTCTATCACGCTCGGGGTTATAACACCATCGCCAACCGTGGTCAGCAGCTACAGTGAGCAAGGCATGCCCAGTGGACCAAATTCGTTGTCAGCAGACGAATCCTTGGAGGGTTTATGGGCTACTTTTGGGCCATCACGTGACTCAAGCGATGAGCGACGGGAATCAGATTCAAAAGGCTCTGAAAGCGAGAATACTCCTGAAAACACAAAGCCTGATAACGCAAGTACAGACTCAGTAACCAGAACTGAAAACTTTGAAATGCCTGGTCGGAAGAAGACATCTGGGGTCCGCTTTGAAGATGGCCTTACCATGGATAACATTCAAATCAACGACGGGCAAATTATCCCAAGGAAAAAGTCTAGTACTCAAGGTGGGATTCTTCGAAAATCAAACACATCAGAGAACTTTGAAGACTTAAATAATGTATCAACAAGAAAGAAGAAAACGTCTCTCGTTCGCTTTCAAGATGAGGTTGCAAACCACTATAAATTCAATGGTCCAGACAGCATTAATACTTTCAATTTTCCCTCCAAAAATGAAGAACCTGATCAAGTTAGTGTCGATGGAATCAATTTTGGTGAAGAGACGGTGAACGCGGCGACACTTTCTCGTTGCTTTCCTGTTCCAAAGTTGTCCGGTGACAAAAGAAACATGCCTACTGGCTGTCCTGAACAAGGAAGAAAGAGGAAAATTTCTGTTTTTGCATTTCAATAAAAGATGACTTCAATATTTAATAAAGACCATTTTAAGGCACTTCGTCTTATCTATTGCCTCTAATTCTGGCTTCCTTTTATTATGGGGTGGTTAGAAAGCGTAGACAGTTAACCCTGCAAACGAACTGGCTTTCAAAAGGTTAGACTTGTTTATTTTTTATCAATAATAATTATAATAATAATAATAATAATAATAATAATAGTAATAATGATGATGATGAAGCTGGTGCTGATGGCAATGCTGATGCTTATGCTGATGATGATGCTTTTGCTGCTGCTGCTGATGATGATGCTGATTATAATAATAATAATAACAACGATGACGGTGATGAAGGTGATGACAATGACAATTTCAGTGCCACCTTGATAGATCTGTCAATTCCGTTATCTTATGTTTAATACTTTGAAGAAAACTAACCTTTTCAACTTTGATTAAAATTTAAAATACCGTGTTCTTAACAAATATGACTGTCTGAATTGTTCGGTTTGACAGTTTTGTAGACTCAAGCTCGAGTTACTCTACCAAAGACTCTCCTCAAAGCGAGTTCTTCAAGCTTCCGTTTGTCATGATAGATTTCTGAATTCTGTGTACAGAATAGTTCATTGAATCAATAGCGGAAATATATACATTGTTCGAGCCGGATAACAAAGCGTAGAATCGGAAAAAGAAGCCCGTTCTTGACATATTTAAACTAAATGAAAGTAAAGTTAATAAACTTCTTTGTTGACATTTTCTGGTATAATGTGACAGCTTTCACATGTGTGCGTTGACTCTACCATTTAACCAAAGTTGAAACAGTCGAGATTTTACTCGCGGATTTTAAGTTCATACAAGAACGCTCCTTTTTGTTGTCACTGAGCTTTCACACTATATTCTTACGACGCTGATTATTACGTGGATTGTATATTTGTGTTTAGCCTATCCGATAGTTCGTTCGTTTATTAACTTCCAGGAACTTTTCACGGATCCGAACATAACGGATCAGCGAATTGGATGATGATTTGATCAATCCTAAAACTGTTTAGTATTAGATCTGGTAGAGCTGTAGTTGGTGCGGCGTGCCATGATGATAAATGCTCACGACTGCAAACTTAAAAGCAGCTGTAATTTTAGCGTAGGTGAAAAGACAACTGATACAACTTGAAGTTATCAATCGTGTCAAAATTAAGCAAACATAGGGAAATATTCGTTCAATTCCTTCTATTGCGCATTTCAATTAGGTTAAGGCTTTTTATAAATCGTGCGTTATTTTCTTTGTTGCGTAGGAATGCTGTATAAAACTACCCTCATAAACCTTTTGCATGTATATGCGCGCTTCTAATTTCCTCCACAATACGCTTCACTAATGTTTCAATCACGGACCAATCTCAGTGTAGGTGGAAAAACAAAAAAAATATCAACGAGGATCACAAATTGTAGCCGCCCAAGCAAGCAATCCGTCAGAAAACTGACCTGTTTCATAGGCCTAGTCAAGTTATAATTGACAGGGAAATTGAGGACACTTCGGCTGCTGAAAGTATTGAAGGGTCCTCGAGGACGGATTTAAATTGGGTAATGAAATAATGAAAAATGAAAAACCTAAATTTCGCAAAAAGATAAATTAAAATTGTTTTCTCTAATTTTAATGACGCGCAAAAGAGCATACATAATAAAAACGCGCGTAATTAATATAAAAAAAGACAGCAAAGGCAGGTAATCACAAGCGTTCTTTACCTCGCCCCTTAATCGTTAAAACATGCGATCATACACGGAGAGGGGTGAATTCACCCCTGAATCCACCCCTTGTTAGCTTTTCCTCTAGGCTCCACTGTACTTGGCCTCATCTTGATTTTAAATGGTGAAAACAATAACTGAAAAATAACCTGAGAGACAAAAAATCCTTTAACTTTGTGCTAATCAAAACATGCAACCTTATAAGGCCTTGTAAATAGATTTCCGTAGCTTCAGTGCGATAATTACTATAAACATATTTCTGTGAAAGGTTTGAACCCAGGAGTCATTTCAAAAGTAGGTTGAGTTTGACTACCGCACAGGTTGTCGAAACGTCGGTCACTGTCAACAACACAGTCGTATTCACGACTATATTCACCCGGACGATCAAACTGAACTTACTTTTGATACATATTTCTCTTTGTATTATATATTTCAATTTGTTAGTGCATTCATGGCACCGTTTAATAAAATGTTGTCAGCGAGGGCAACAGCAAGCTTACTAGCAACTGCGAAATAGTAAACATAGGATAATCTTGGACTGATGCCTCCCCTAACCCCGCGCCAAAAAAACGAAAGTGGACAGAAACATCCCTCTCACTCAAAATGGTGTTGCGTTTAAAAAATTTAGAGAGGAAGAGCGATTTTTAATTTCAAAACTTTGCGGCTTGTGTTTTGTCATTTACTTAAAGGAAGCGCGTGAAAATATTGTGCCTTTGTCTGTTTTATGAATTTTGCAAAATTTAGAGCGAATATTTGCTTTTTCTACATTAAGATAGAAACCTGCCCATCAAGACAGTTTGTTATTTCAGCGGTTCGACCGATTCTCCACAAAAAGTGTCATTTACTTCGCACTTGTATCAAGTGTAATGCTAAAAAAAACCCTGGCTTCTTTAACCAGTTGATATATAGCAGTCGTGCATAATATGAATCTTTCATTTCTAGAACGAAAAACGGGGTTTTGTTCCATAAGACAGACTGGAGAATTTATGAACTATTGCTGAGTCTTTTGAAGATAGATTGCTCTTTATTTGAGTAAAGCAAACAGAGAAGTCAACTCACTGGGCCGAATAAATGGAAAACAAGAAGCTCATATTAATTTTCAGCTTTATATTGTGTTTCGGTACGTGTTTTGGTGGATATACAGGGTAAGAAAAAGAAAGTCGAGAAAATGAAAAGAAAGAAGGCGAGACTGTAAAATAAATGAAAAAAAGTAAGCCTTAAAAAGGAAGTGAAGGTGATTTACGAGTTCATATAGATGTATCATTCGAATTTCGTGAAAGCCTCAATGAAGCTGACAATTAGAATGGAAAAATAAACAACGCAGCTTGCCAATAAAAAGTATGGCTATGAAGCCGGGTCTCTTCATTTTCTTTTCCTTTAGGATTTTGTAATCTTTCTCGCGCCAAGAACAGATCCTTGAGAAAGCTGTTTCGACCTTCATCTTCTAGTTATCACCATACTCGTTTAGATATTATATCATCGCACTACACTCTATTGATAATAAGTGTGCGTGGTGCGTTTTACGCTACAAGAATAGGATGTTTGGGCAGCCTTATTCGTTCCAATTCTAACAGTCAACAAGCTTTGCATTTATTTTCTGACGCACTCCTTCGAAACGTTTTTGTGTGTTGTTATTTCAATGGTGCTTGTGTCCGATTGTGGTGACAGTCTTTTCTTCTTTCCGTTAATTCTCGCTGTAGTTGAAAATGTTAGGGGCTACAAGCGCGAACGCAGGTCTGCCCAACTAACAAAAATTTTGCACCACGCCACCCGGCACACGCGTGGGAAACGCACAGAGCTTAGCCTGTTTGTGTACTGTGTGGTGGCTTTGCTCCGGGAGAACTGCCTTCGTGATCACAGTAGCTCCAGTGCATTGTAAGTATGGCAAGACTTCTCGATTTTCTGACTTTAATAGGCTCAGGTGACACAAGCTATTGTGGGATGTCAGCCTTTTCACTGCTACCCTTTTCGTCCAATTGTACTGAGAACTGTTATTGCGCAAACTCCTACACTATAGACACTTTTGCGCATGCGTATTATGAAAGTGAAAAGGGTATCAATTTCAATCTCGACCCAGAGCTCTTCAGTGCATGTATAGAGGAGAGAGTTCAAGAGCTCTAGGGAACCTTGGAGCAAGATTGTCTCTGACTGGTTTCAGCAAAAAATAATAAAAGTGTTTCTGATTGGTCCATTCAAGTTTGCACGAGAGCGGTTGAACGTGCGGCGTCTCTGGCGTGTGAGCGGGTTTTTCCCTAGAAATGTTGACGTAAACAAGACCGGCCGATTCTTGATTTCAGCGATTCCGAAACAACATTTGCACGACTAGTTAGGCAGAATTACTGGATTTTCCAATTTTCAAATAAAATAGCTTAGCTACATATCGAAAATTGAACCAGAAAAAGATTTGAATGTGAAAAAATCAAACAAAAATACACCGACATCTTTGCCAGCTATAATTTAAGAAGCATAACACTTTACTGATTTTTCTCTGACTTCTACGTTATCGTATTCACACGAAGTAGCCGAGTATGAATGAAAACTTGAGCTTCATTTCGTAAATTGCCCAAAAACAGACTTGCAAAGAAAAAAAAGAACAGAAAAAGTAAATCGTTCTCTAAAGTGATGAGTGTACAATGCGACTAGATATTTATAGATCAATTGTCAAGCACATGCAAACTTCAAGTCTCAAATCTGTGATTGGGAACGTTTAACGGAATTTTCTTAGCAGCTACCACAATAGCCTTGGATACCTGAAAATTCCTCAAGGCCGTTAACTGAATTTCTTCAGTTCTAATACCGAAGCAGCACAGGACTTTCGCGATGAAGTAGATATAAAACTGAAGCAAAACGTTTTAGTTGGATCAAAGAGCATGCGCTGTGAGGCCCAAATAGCCAGATTTTGGCTGCTCCGGCGCAGAGAAACTCTGCGCACTTGCATATGGAACTTGAAATCAATGCCAGTGAATAATGAGGACGCCCACTAGTAAACACAAAATCTGGGGAAAAAATTGGTTATATCTAAGGCCCTATTTAAAAGCCTTCCCTGTTTTCAATGTTCTTGAAACTTGCAGGGTATATTTATTGGCAATTAATCTCAGGATTGTCAAATTTATAAAAACATTTATCGAGCGGTTTTTTGAAAAATGCGAAATTTGTAGGCGTGGACCAAATTACGTGCAAAAACTGTGACAAAAGCAGCTGAATGCAAGTTAATAAAATTCTTCTTACTCGCGATTGCCCAGAGCAATTTCCCTCTTTTCTTGTACGCAGTTTTGAATGGAATCAAACTACTATGAGATGAAGCCGCGCAGCCAAAGTTTATCATTTTTTTAAAAATGAGCTAATTGTGTGGATAGCATGCTATTTCACTGTTTTTATGATGTTTAGAATTTCGTTTCAAAATATTTCGAAAACGCTCTCATAGAATTTGTTCAAACTTCTCCATAATTAAGGCAATTATAGCAGGTACAAATTCCCTTCAGCGATTTCTTAAAAATTAAACCTCCTGGTACAGAGAAACACAAAGGATAAATAAAAAAGGTAATGGCGTCGTTACGTTGCCATGGCCACTCTGATTGCAATAAAACCCAGATCATAAGATATTTTCGTCTTTAAATAATACAGTTGTGGTAACCTTTTTCCCATATCTTTAATTATGGCGACATAGTTAATGCTCAAACATGGT